CCCCAGACACATGCAGTTAACCCCTAGACACGTGCGGTAGACTGGGGCTCATCCACGTTGACTGTGGACACTGTGTCCATCATCCTGGCATCTGCCCCTGAGTGTCCGAAGGCAGAGCCCCACCCGGGACCCCAGCACTGACCTCCCTGCATCCACTCCCGCCCACAGGTGAATTGCCCCTGTCGCTGGCTGCCTGCACCAACCAGCCCCACATCGTCAACTACCTGACGGAGAACCCCCACAAGAAGGCGGACATGCGGCGGCAGGACTCCCGTGGCAACACGGTGCTGCACGCGCTGGTGGCCATTGCTGACAACACCCGCGAGAACACCAAGTTCGTCACCAAGATGTATGACCTGCTGCTGCTCAAGTGTGCCCGCCTCTTCCCCGACAGCAACCTGGAGGCTGTGCTCAACAACGACGGCCTCTCGCCCCTCATGATGGCTGCCAAGACGGGCAAGATTGGGGTGAGTGCAGGGCCGGGGGCATGGCCAGCCCAGCCGTTCTTGCTCCTCTACACACATACACATTCGCACACGCGCGTGCACACACACACACACGGGGCTGCTGCTGGCGTTCATTATTACTAATACACACAGCACCTCCCATCCTGCCAACCCCACTGTGCAGATGCCCCAGCTCAAGAACCTGCTATGGCTCCCTATTGTCCAGCCAAGCTATTCAGTTTCATCCCAGAGCCTCTCTCTTCATCCCACCCACCTGGATGCTTACCGCCCAACTCCCACCAGCCAGGACAAGCCTCTGAGAGAGACCTGAGTCCCAAGGGTCCAGCCCTGCTGGGTTCCCTACACTCCACGGCCGGATTCAGGCTCAGCCTCTAAGCTGCTGGGTGGCCGTGTGCCGGTTCCTTCCCTCTCTGGCCTCCCAGCACAAGGCCTAGAACAGGACCTCTCACCCTGGGCACCACTGCCATTTGGGGCTGGATGGGTCTGGGGTGTGGAGCTGTTCTGTGCCATTGTAGGATGTTTAGCTGCATCCCTGGCCTCGACCCACTAGATGCCAGTGGGGCCCTCATGTACTCCACCAGTTGTGACAACCCAGATGTCTTCAGGCATTGCCAGGTTGTCCCCTGGGGGGGCACCATCACCCTGACTGAGAACCAATCCTGAGGTTCTCTGCAGTCGGAAGCACCTGGGTCCAAGGCCGGTCTCTGCCACTGCCCTGCACGTGGCCTCAGGCCTCTTGCCTCTCCTCCCTGTGCCTCCACTTCCTTGTCTCTAAAATGGGAGCAATAATCATGCCCTGTGGTGTGGTGTTCTGACAACTCAGTGAGGTGATCCACTTAAAACTGTTAATAAAAAGTCCAGGATGGGCACTAAATGCTAGGGTTACTACTGCTCTATTAAAAATATAGCAAAAAAAAAGACTAAAATTGCAATTATACCAGGGTCCTGAGTGGGTGGAAAAGGCCTGGGTTTAAATTCTGGTTTTGCCCTACTGAACTCTGTGGCCTTGGGCAACTCCCACACCCTCTCTGTTCCTCAGTCTCCCTGTGTGTCAGCCAAGGAGAGTAGGGGCAGCGATAGGAAGGACCAAATAGGATAATTATTGCTAGATTTAACTTGCTAATAAGCTTGATTCATTGCTGTTTTAATTACATAAAGAGGATACTCACCACAACTGAGATTTGTAAGGCTCACCTGGGTTCAATCCGCCTTCAGCTGACTGGCCTCAGGGAACCTCCTTCTTTTTTCTGAGCCTCTGTTTGCTCTCCTGTCAACCAAGACAGTAGAGTAAGAATTAAACAAGATGATGTGAGTAAAGGGTCTGTCATACAGCAGGTGCTCAGTAAATGTGTTCCCTCCCCTCCATCCTGCTCTCAGGGTAGGTGCTATTTGATGGGCTGTCCTGGCCTCCCAGGGTCCCTTCGAGGTGAGCGACTGAGCCGCAGTCCCTCCCACCCTGCCCAGGACCCCCTGACCCTCCCTTCTCCTACGCAGATCTTTCAGCATATCATCCGTCGGGAGGTGACAGACGAGGACACCAGGCATCTGTCCCGCAAATTCAAAGACTGGGCGTACGGGCCGGTGTATTCCTCGCTCTATGACCTCTCCTCCCTGGACACATGTGGGGAAGAGGCCTCTGTGCTGGAGATTCTGGTGTACAACAGCAAGATCGAGGTGGGCATCTGGGCATCGGGGCAGGAGACGGGGCCCAGGGAAGGAGGGGCCTGAAGCGGTGGGTCTGTGAACTGAGTGCAAAAGAAAGTCACAGCTAAGTGCCCAGAACAGCATCTGGTACTGGGGGGAAATAGGATTGTAAGGGTCGGTCTTCAGGGGCAGGCAGGACTGGCTTTGTAACTTACATGCTGTGTGACTCAGGACAAGGTACCCAGCCTCTCTGAGTCCCAGCTTCCTCTTTTGTACCATGAGGATAAGGATAGAGTATTTCTAATTGGGTTGTTGCGAGGACCAAATAAATTCATTCTGGAGTAGTCTGGCACAGGGTAAATGTTATGTGTCAGCTGTTATCATCAGTAGTCCTTACATGAAGTTTTGAAAGCTCCTTTTTTCACTTAGCAGTACTTTGCGAACATCGTTCTGCACCATTAAATTTTCTTCTGCAGTGTCATTGCTGCGTGGAAATGTATCACATTCTAATTAACCGTTCCTCTCTTCTTGGTCATTTGGATTTGTTTCTGCAGTTAACTATCAGGAATAACACTGCAACGGCATCTTTGTGGCTACGTCGTTGCACAGTTCTTTGATTATAAGGAAACTCAAGTCATTAAAGGGACAAGACACTGTACAAATGGGTCAGCAAATGCTGGGGCGTGGGTGCAGAAGATCTCCCTTCCAGCCCCGGCTCTATGAGCTTGGACAGATGCCTTCCCTTGTTGGAGGCCACTTCCCTCATCTTTGAAATGAGTGACCAACTTGATTTACAATGGGGGTGATGGGAGGCTTAGCGTCTCTGCTGCAAACTCTGATTGATTGGTAGTGTCTACCCAGGGAACTAGATAGAGAACTTTTGTGTGGGAATCAATTGTTGATGTCTGCCCTGGGTTCAGAATTGGAAAATTGTGGTGACTCAAGTTTTTATCATCTTTGGGCTAAATTTCCCGATCCCACTTCCTAAATCAGAATTTCTGAGTTTGGAGCCCAGGGATTTATATTTTTAACAAGTCACATAGGTGACTTTGCTACCAGTAGCTTGGTACCATCCACAGAGTGGAGTCTGGGGACCGCAAGAATAGATGTTCTTTAAGGTGCCTTCTAGCTCTGGCTTCTGTGAGTCTAGAAGAGGCTGAAAAGGTAAGTTAGGGCAGAACTGGGCAGAGTCTCAAATGCTGAGCCCAGAAGTTTGAGTGTCACTAATAATGGGTTAGGAGGGGAAAGATCTCTTAGGGCAGTGGGTGGGGGGAGGCATACTGGAGTCAGCTGATCTGGCCCCTGACCACCCTGCCTCCCACAGAACCGCCACGAGATGCTGGCCGTGGAACCCATCAATGAACTGCTGCGGGACAAGTGGCGAAAATTTGGGGCTGTTTCCTTCTATATCAATGTGGTCTCCTATCTCTGTGCCATGATCATCTTTACCCTCACTGCTTACTACCAGCCACTAGAGGGCACTGTGAGTAACCCCCCCCCCACCCACCACCACCAAGCTAGGCAGGAGCTGGGACACAGCTGGGTCCTCCTGGATCCCCAGTGGGAGGGACTGGAGAAGGCTTAGAACAGGATGGGGAGGTGCTCCCACACACACCCAGGGGGAAGAGAATGAGGGAGGAGGTGCCACAGGACCCAGGTGTTTGGGGCGTTGGAGAACATCTGGGTCTGGGGCCAGGTGTTGGAGGGGCTGGGTGAGGATGTGTGTGCCTACCCCCGCCCCCCAGCCGCCGTACCCTTACCGCACCACGGTGGACTACCTGAGGCTGGCCGGCGAGATCATCACACTCTGCACCGGGGTCCTGTTCTTTTTCACCAACGTGAGTGCTTGGCCCCCCAGTCTCCCCCGACCCTGCCCACCCCCCCTCCTTCTCTTCCTCCACCTCTTTTAGCTGCCCTCTCCTCCCCTCTGCTGGCTCCACCTCTCTCACGTGCCCCCTCCCCTCCACCAGATCAAAGACTTGTTCATGAAGAAATGCCCTGGAGTGAATTCTCTCTTCATTGATGGCTCCTTCCAGCTACTCTAGTGAGTAGAGGTCCCCAGACTGGCAGCTTCTGGGTGAGGAAGGTGGGGCTGGGCAGGGGCATCATCCAGGTTTGGTGGGGGTGGGTGGGGGGGTGACTCTATTAGGAGTGAATTCACCCAGACTGAACAGCTGCAGCCCCAAATCAGGACAAGGCCAATGTCAAGCAAAACAGTCTTCTGATTAAAGCAAGATTCTGGTTGCTAGAGAGTTATCACCATAGACACCATGGATAGAAATAACTTAGCATCTTACACGTTTGATTGATTGCTAATGTCTGCTCAGAGTGCCCACGTTAAGAATCTTGAGGTTATGTCAGTGTTTCCGTGGGAAAGAGTGCTGGGATGGATTGATGATGTCTGCTCAGGGCACAGGATGAGTTGCTGCACATATGTTACATCATCTCGTTTTTCCTTAGCATTAGAGAACAACGAAATTCACTTAGCCACAAAATCTCACTGAACACCACTGAGTCTTTTTCTACCAATCCCAAAGGATGTCACTGTGGGATCTGGTAGAGCCTCAGGGCCATTACACACACATCAGTTGCCAGTTAATGGAGCGTTTGGGTTAGAATGCTGGGGAACCCAGTGAATCCGTATGGATTCTCTTCTGGTGTCGTCAGGATGTCCTGGGACCTGGTAGAGAGCTTGAGGGCATGTCTCCCCCTCCAGGGCCTCACTGTCCCCTCTCCCCTCTGGCCCCTCTTGCGGTCTCTGCTGCCCTGTAGCTTCATCTACTCTGTGCTGGTGATTGTCTCAGCGGCCCTCTACCTGGCGGGAATTGAAGCCTACCTGGCCGTCATGGTCTTCGCCTTGGTCCTGGGCTGGATGAACGCCCTTTACTTCACCCGTGGGCTGAAGCTGACGGGGACCTATAGCATCATGATCCAGAAGGTATGGGGTGGGGGGTGGGGGTTCCCTCTGGCCTCGTGTGTCCTTGGAGGGAGCCACAGGCACCATGTGTGTACAGACAGTGCTGGTGGCCCTGAGGATGTGGACATCGGGGGATGTGGGATGTGGGATAAGGAGCTGGGAAAGCGAGAAACCATGTGTCTCATCTTTGCCTCCGTTTTTTCCCCCTCCCCCGGGGCCTTTAGATCCTCTTCAAAGATCTTTTCCGCTTCCTGCTGGTCTACTTGCTCTTCATGATCGGCTACGCTTCAGGTGAGCTCTGGGTGCCCGAGTGGGCCTGGCGGGGGCGGCACAGGACTGGAACGGCCACCATGATGTGTGGAGGACAATAACCAGCGTTTGTAGAGTCCTCCCTGTGGGCCCAGTGCTGGGCTAAATCCTTTCCCACCCCTGCCTCGTGTAATCCTCCCTACAAGTCTGTAAAGTAAGTGCCTTTATCGCCACCTTTTACAGATAAGGAAGCTGAGGCTACAAAAGGTTAAGTAACTTGTGCAAGTGCAAAAGCTAGAAAATGGTAGAACTGGCGTGTTCGCTATTGTTGCAAAAGAAGCCACCGTAAGTGTGTAGTGGCTTAAACAACCCCATTTATTATTACTCACAAACCTGGAGGTCAGCTGGGTGGTGTGCTGACCTGGGCCAGATTTGGCTAACCTCAGTGGGCTCCTTTGTCTCTGCTCCACTGGCGGGTCGGCTGCTGCAAGGGTGGCCTCACTTGGGGGTGACTTTGCTGTCTTCCCTGGGGTCACTCATCTCTAGCTGGCTGGCTTGGACTTGGTCACGTGGTGGCCTGAGTGTTCCCGGAATGTGAGCGGAAGGGTTCAAGGTCACTGCCTCGCACAGCATCACTCCTGCCTCGCTCTGTTGGCCAAAGCAAGTCTCAAAGCCAGTCCTGACTCAAAAGAGGGAGGAAGTAGACTCTGCCCTCTTGGTGGAAGGAGATATAAAGCCAGCGTTGACGGGATATAGGGGAGGGTGCATTTTAACCATTAATCTACCAGCCCACGTGTTTTTTTAAGCTCAATATGTTCCCTCCGGTAGACTTTCTCCTTGATGTCATGATGCCATGGGACCCAAGTGGCACAGGCCATGGGGGAAGGACCCGGGATGCGGAAGCTGACAAGCTGTTGAGTTAGTTCCCCAAGGGTTGGGTGATCTGCCATGCGATGCCTAGTATCCAAAAGGGGGCGGCCAACTTGGCCTTCACCAGGTCGCATTCACATCTGGGGAGGTTGGTCTGAGACCAGCACTGACAGGGCTTCCCCTGCTAGGGGACACTAGATCCCCATTTTGGGGCTGACATATCCCAAACATGGCACACATGCTGCCATTCTCAAGAATCGACTGTTGGCTTGGCTTCCACGCTGTGTAACTTTGGGCCAGCACTCTCCCCTCGCCAGGCCTCAGTGTTCCTCCCCATCAAATGGGACTGGTCCTCCCCTCTTCTTAGCCAGCATCCTCACCCTCAGTAAACATCACCGCCATCCCTCCCACAGCCCTGGTCTCCCTCCTGAACCCATGTGCCAACATGAAGGTGTGCAGCGAGGACCACACCAACTGCACGACGCCCACGTACCCCTCCTGCCGCGACAGCGAGACCTTCAGCACTTTCCTCCTGGACCTCTTCAAGCTGACCATCGGCATGGGCGACCTGGAGATGCTCGGCAGCACCAAGTACCCTGTGGTCTTCATCATCCTGCTCGTCACGTACATCATCCTCACCTTTGTGCTGCTCCTTAACATGCTCATCGCCCTCATGGGGGAGACGGTGGGCCAGGTCTCCAAGGAGAGCAAGCACATCTGGAAGCTGCAGGTGAGGCCCCGGGACTCCCGTCCCTGCCCCGCCAGCCACTCTGCTCCTTCTAGAGATGGGGCGACCTGACCCACCGCACCTCCTTGGCCTTCGGCACTGGGGGAGCCACACCGTCTCATTTGGCCTCCACTTCCCTGTCTGTAAAATGGGCATTGAAGGCTGCGGTCTGTTTCCCAGAGCCACCGAGCACACCTGCAGGTGGCTTCTTGCCTGACCTCCGGCAGTGGCCTCAGATTCCCTTTGTGGTCCAGCTTCCAGGATACAGTCGGCTTCACCCAGCAACACTGAGTGAGCTGTCGGCACTACATATGCTCAGAGAGCATCACCCTTCAGCGAGGGTCCCGCACTGGGCAGCTTCTGTGCCCTACGCCGGCTCCAGACACGAAACTGATGGCCCGTGTCGGTACAGGCCACCCCAGAGCAGGGAAACGTCAGCATTCTCATCAGATGGGCTTTTACCAGCCCAGGCTCCACCCCTTCAACCAAGCCGATGTGGACACGGAGGGCAGCGAGGGGCTCGCCGACAGAGGAGCTGCTGCCTTTGCTTCCCACAGGCTTCCATGTAGTCCTGGAGAGCAGGGCCCTGGGGGTATCACAGCCCGCCTGGCCACGAGCAGTTTTTTGGCGTTCCTAATAAACAAGGTTGCCTCAAGGCCCGTGAAGGCAGCACCCACATTTACCATGACTTGGTACATTTCCAGGAAGTGGCACAGTGAGAAAAAACAAACTCCAAGGTCCTCCTCCCAGGTCTGGGTCTCAGGGAAACGTCTGGACCTGCTCTTTACCGTTATCCATACCGCCTACTTCCCCGGGCCTCCTTCCCCACCAGCTGTAACTCATTAGATGCCAACTTATGATGCCTATGGACTGGATTTAACCAGCAAAGATTTTTTTTTTCTGTATCACTATATTTTTTTTAAAGATTAACACAAAATTTTTAAATTAAGATATTTCTTAGAAAAATCCCTATTTCTGGCCTTTCTTGAAAAGCTGGAAGCTTGATGAGGCAGGCCCACACTCCTGCCTGGCCGTGCCCGGGTGGATGAGGGGCGGATGAGACCTCCCTGGTCTGCCCCGAGTCCCCACCCCTCCTGGGGAGTCTCAGCACCGAGGGGCAGCTGCTATGCTATGCGTGTGTCCTGGGGCTTGAGCTGCTGGTCCTGCTTCATTCATCCGCTCCTGCCAGGCCCCTGTGGGTATTTGAGTGTCTAACCCTGTTTCCAGGGGCAGCGAGAGCTGGAAAGCCTAGTTCTCTGCCCTCCTTGTCCCGTAGCATCATTTCTGCCATTAGAGCAGTTAGGCGGGGCTGGGATGGCTCACCCGCAGCCCTCCCTCCCTCCTTCCCCGTAGTGGGCCACCACCATCCTGGACATCGAACGCTCCTTCCCCGTGTTCCTGAGGAAGGCCTTCCGCTCGGGCGAGATGGTGACTGTGGGCAAGAGCTCGGACGGCACTCCGGACCGCAGGTGGTGCTTCAGGTGAGGCTGGGTGGGCTGGGCAGGACCAACCTGGGTGGACGCGGTCCCATATGTTTTCTACCCATTGCAACTTCCCGAGCCATCGAGGCCCAATGGGCCCGACTAGAACTCAGTTCTACTGGATGATCTTGGGCACGTTGGTTCAGTTCTCAGCCTTGGTTTGTTCATCTGTGAAATGGGGACGGTGACAGCGGCACTCCCTCAGCCAGCCATGTGGATTAGACGGGTTGCACGTGAGGCATGCCGGGTCAGCACCTGATGGCAGCTACGACACCGCGCACCAACTGGTGTTGCTGCCCCTCTGTCTCTTACTGGAAGAAACAGGCTCAGAGGTGGTGCTTATGCCGGGCATCTCCCTCTATCGACAGAAAAATGGGGTTGGCCTCAGGCCTTCAGCTAAACAGGGGAAAACCAAGGAATCAGCAGCTTCCAGGGCTTTGGACATTACCCAGATGCATCGGGAATGCCAGCTTCTCAGGGGAACCCGCTGGGTGAACCTTTTAAGCTGATTCGTTCTTTGTAACGTGATTGCCAGCCCAGAGCACCAGCATCACGTTTGGAGTCAGGCACAGTCAGTTTCCACTACAATAACTACCCCACCTCACAGGCCAGCTAGTCAGCCTGGTTCAATTTGAATCCAAACTTCAAGTCCTGACTCTGTGATTTGTCAGCTTGGTGACCTTGGACGTACAGTTGAACAAGCCTCAGTTTCCTCATCTGTAAAAGGGGAGCAGTGAATGTCTAGCTTCCTTGCCGGCTCCTGACCCAGAGCAGTTGCTCAAAAAGTGGAAGTTAAATGAAAATAACAAAAATAAATTTAGAAAGGAAAAATTACATGGAGCCCGTTTGGGCCCACAGAGCTGTAACCTGACTTTATGAGGGGGTCCCAATAATATTACTGAATCAAGCAGTGTGCTGCCCATCCACAGATGAATGGATGTATATCCGTACAAACTGTGGTCCTTCCACACAATGGAATATTATTCAGCCATAAAAAAGAATGCAGTACACATGCTTCTATGTGGATGAACCTTGAAAACATTATTCTAAGTGAAAGCAACCAAACACAAAATGATTCCACTTATACGAAATGTCCAAAACAGGTAAATAAATTGAGACGGAAAGTAAAGCAGAGCTTACCGGGGGCTGGTGGGAAGGGGAATGGGGCATAATTACTTCAGGGGTACAGAACTTCTGTTTGGGGTGATGTAAATGTTTTGGAAATAGGTAGTGGTGATGGTTGCACAACCTTGGGAATGTATTTTGTGCTACTGAACTATACACTGAAAAATTGTTAAAATGGCAAATTTTCTATTATGTGTATTTCACCAGAATGATAAAAAAGGAGGAGGGGGGCTGGGCAGGTAGAGCAGGGAGGCTGCCCGGATTTGGGGAAGGGGTGCTGTCTCCAGGGGGGCTCCCCTTGACCCTGTCTCCCCTGTGGCCCCACCAGGGTGGACGAGGTGAACTGGTCTCACTGGAACCAGAACTTGGGCATCATTAATGAGGACCCTGGCAAGAACGAGAGCTACCAGTACTACGGCTTCTCACACACCGTGGGCCGCCTCCGGAGGGGTGAGCCGGGGGGTGTGGGGGGCACTCAGGCGTGCAGGGGGGATCCCTGGCCATCCTCAGTGCTAATTTGCTTTGAGCAGTCCTGTCCCCTTTCTGGGACTCAGTGTTCACATCTGTAGAATGGGTGGGTCCGATAGGCTGGCCACTGAGCTTCCTCTGCTGCCTGTGAGTGCCCGGGGCCCCTCACTTCCACCCAAATGAGCACATGAGACACCGTGGAGAGGACACAGGTGCTCAGGCATTCTGACCCGCACTTGAATTCTGATTCTTTCATTTATTCCTGTGTGTTCCTGGGCAGACTCCGTGACCTCTCTGAGCCCCGCTTTCCACCTCTTTAAATCCGGGATAATATATCTCCCCCTTTAGAGCACTGTGGAGTGCCTCGGTACACAGAAGGTGCTCAATATATGCACGGGCACCCTCCACCAACCCTCCCCCCTCCCCCCACCGTGCTCACTGCAGATCGCTGGTCCTCAGTGGTGCCTCGCGTGGTGGAGCTGAACAAGAACTCGAACCCGGACGAGGTGGTGGTGCCTCTGGACAACATGGGGAAGCCCAGCTGTGATGGCCACCAGCAGAGTTACCCGCCCAAGTGGAGGACTGACGATGCCGCCCTCTAGGCGCTGTGGGCAGGAACAGGGTCCCCTCCACTGCCCACTTCTAGTCCACTTGCATTTCAGTGGCACCCCCCGGGGTGTCCCCTGCACCCTCCTTCAGCCCCCAGAGGTGAGGGCTGGGCAGAGATGCCGGGGAGGCCCCAGGACCCTCTGGCTCCCCCACCCCACTCCCCAGGCACCAGGCTCCTGGCCGCCTTTCTCACTCCCATGGAGTCAGCTAAGCAACACCAGGGCCTCTTTGCCTTTCCATTTATTTATTTGCTCTGCCCTAGGAGAGCGGCACGACCCCTGCCCGGAACTGGAGCCTGGCAGAGGCCTCAGGACCCCGTCCCAGGGGCACCGCGGGCTGAGCCCCCAGCCCCACCCTGCACCCTGGGCCGCTCAGGCCACCGTGTGCTGAAGCGTGGTGGCTTTGCCAAGGGGCCCGCCTTCTGTGTGTTCTGTAGGAGGCCTGGGATTGTCGGTGCTCAATAAATGTTCGTTGATGGTGGAAATGGTGGGGACAATGGTGGGAGGAGCGTAGCAGGCACAGGGTGTTGGCATGGAGATGGGAGAGCTAAGAAATGCCTGCGGGGGGCGGGGATGAGAACGAGGGGCAGTAATAATGACCAAGGTGGTGTTTAGGGTGATGGTTGGGGGGCTGGACTAGGGGTGGTGGCCTGAGAGATGGGGGTGAGATAGAGTGTGATACAGAAGATAGAGCTGAAGAGAGGAGGTGACAGTAGGCTGGTGGAGGGATAATGGTGCTGGCGGGGTGAAAGTCAGTCTGGTCAGGTTATAGGAATGCTGGGAGGGGATAATGACACTGGTGGGGGGACAGGAATGCTCATCATGGCCTGGTGACACTGGTGGGGGTAACACTGTGCCAGCGTGGGGAGGACAGCTGCTGGGGAGGGCCAGAGCCGAGGTGGAGATGACAGCCCTGGAAATGGGTGTGCCATCAAGTGTCTGCAATGGGGGGATGGTGAGGGTGAGAGTGGCCTTAGTAAGGACAGTGGTGGCGACTGGAGTGGTGACAGTGCTTGTGGAGCCTGGGGTGGGGACGGGACCACGTGCCATCAGAGCTGTGAATGTGAGTTGGAGCTGAAGGCTGACCTGCTTCCCTTTCGAGGGCAGCCATTCTCCCCAGGGTCACACCCCACTGCTGATCAAGCCCCCTGGTTATGAGGAGGGACCCCACAGACACCGCATCCTGCTGCTCCACCCTGGAGCGGAGGAACCTGCAGTCAGCTGAAGTTGCCCTCTGACCTCCCAGGTCCCTGCTCGGATGAGGTCTGAGGTCCCCTCTGAAGCTTCAGTTGAGAAGCGTTTGGGTCTCTGAGGACCGGGCCAAGGGCGGCTTCAGTGGGAGAAGCACAGGGCATGGGGTCTGCAGACATGGGCTTGCCCCTTTGGCCCAAACTGTGGCAATGGGTCACTTTACTCCTCTGGGCCTCCAAGTCCCCATCTGCCGGAAGGATGAGACTCAGTTACTTGAGGGACTGGAGTCTATTCAGCAAAAGGAGAACCAAGCTGACATGAATTGTGTTGCCACTGAGGGTGGCTGGGGGGCGCCAACCTTCCCATGGACCCATTCTTTCCATCTCCCTCTACGTTGCCTTCCAGGGGCTGATGGGCTCTCCTTGTGGTCCACAGATGACCCAGCTCCTCCCAGGGCGGCAGGCTTCCTCATTCCAACCCAACACATACACACACACAGATGGTCCTCACCCAGCATTCTCAAAGGAGGTCCCAAGAGCCATTCTGATTGGACGGACTGGGGTCACATGTCATGCCTGAGCCAATCCCGTGACTGGAGGTGGGGATGCCCTCCCTGACTGAGCCAAGCCTTCTGGGTAATGGTGGGTAGGTCCTAAACGTTGAGCCTCAGTGTCCTCATCTGTAAAATGGGGCACAGCTTTTCATGAAGATCAAGTAGTTCCCTGGGCTTTTCAAGGAAGAGACGATTGTGGTTGTAGTGTTTGTATAGCTATGTGCTTGGGGCAGCAAGTCACAGAGAACTTGAAGGAAAGAATGTTTATTGTCTTAGCAGGAAGTCTTCAAGTTAGGGAGGGCAGGAAAGCTGGTGAATTCAGTCTCTGTGATTCATGAAGGGTTCAGCCAGCTCCTTTATCCCTCCAAGCATTTATCAGGTACTGAAGGTACTAAGCTAGGCACCACCCACCAGGTGTGCTGGCTTTTTCTTCACACGGGCTTCCATCGAAGACACAAGATGGCGCCACCATATCAGGCATCGCATCCAGAGGAAGAAGGAGAGATGGTTCTTCCTGGGTCTCTTTTAATGGGAGAGGAAACCTTTCCCTGAAGTCCCCCAGCCAACCTCCCTTCTTGTATTATTGGCCAGAATTGTGTCACGTGTCCCACGCTCCAGCCAATCAGCAGGCAGGAAGCAGCAATTGCCCTAAAGAAGAAGAAGGCAATATGGAGGAAGGTAGTTTCCCCAGCCTGGTCTGAGTTGTGTGGGCAAGGAGGGTGGGGAAACCAGGATTGCCTAGGCGGCCAGTAACAGCTTTTCCCAGATGCCCACCCTCCCCTCCATCTTTCTAGTTGGAGGGTGGGCAACACTGTCACGGAAAATGACAGTGACTCATTCTGGGGCTGTAAAGAGATTGTTTCTCTAGGGGCCTATGGGATGGGCTGGCCCATAAGATCAAAACACCCTTTCAGCTCAAAAAGACTCAATCGATTATTGAGGTGAATGCCTCATTCACTGATTTTTTAAAAATCATGAAATAATTATAGGCTATGAATTTTCCTCTGAGGACATTTTTAGCGAAATATATAGTAACTTCTTCTACCGTGATTTTCTAACTATTTGATGGTTTGGGTGTTGATCTTCAATAATTCAAAAGCAGTTTAGGTGGGGATTTAAAGTATTTTCAAGTCTTTGAGATTTCGTGTTCCTGTAAGACCTTAAAGATGACCTTTCCCATTGTCTTTCAGCATATAGGACATGTGCTGGTGGTATGCCAAAATATTTCCAGGGGACATACTGGACATAGAATTACTTAGAGGAAAACAGCCTTCCGACGGGTCTCAGTTTGATGCTTCTGGAATTTTAATACCGTTCCAATACTTGCTAATCTCTCTTTAATGGAGAAAAACCTCAGGCTCAGAATCTCTGAAAGGCAAAGCTAGAACCAGCGATGGGGTTAGCTTCTCCTGGGCCACAGGGACTGAGGATAGAGAGGGGCAGTTCCTGAGGAAAGTTGGAATGTTGATACCTGTGCTAGACTGTGTTGGCCCTGTGATGGCCCTGACCCCTCTTTTAGCCATTCCTTTGCAGTATAGCTTTGTCTTTCCACAGTGGGTAAAGCATGACTTTGCACCCCTGGGGTTGGTCATGTGACTTTTTTTTTGGCGGGGTGTAATTAGGTTTGTTTTTAGTGGAGGTACTGGGGATTGAACCCAGGACCTTCTGCATGCTAAGCATACACTCTACCACTGAGCTATACCCTCCCCCCACCATGTGACTTGTTTTAACCAATGGGATGTTAGTGGACATGCCCAAGCCAGCCCCCAAGAGGAGGATGAGAGACACGTGGAGCAGAGCTACATCATCCCAGACAAACCTCGCTGAGATCAGCTGCAGATGCGTGACCCCCAAAAGTTTCTTGTATGCCGCTGAGTTTTTGTGATTTTTTTTTTTCACGTGCAGGCATCAATTTTGTGGCAATAGCTAATGCGTACAGACAATAGAAGAAAGTAAGTAGAACCTGGTCAGGCCAAAAAGACTGAATGTCCCCTGCACTCTACGTTATAGATGAAGAAACAGTCTCAGAGACAGGAAACCTCTTGCCCAGGGCATCTGGCTTGTAAGTGATAGAGACAGAATTTGAACCCAAGCATTCTACCCGCCAGACCCCATCGTGGAGAGAAAACACTCTGACCCCTGAGGGGTGAGAGGTGATGAGGTCAGGTCAGTTCTGCAATGAGCAAAGACCCTGGCTGTCGCCTGCCACTCTGGCTGAGTCCCTGGGACTGTCTCCTCGAGACACCCTCTCCTTTTGAACATACCCCCTAACTTCATTCCAACAAGGATTTCTTACTATGTGCATGTATGTGTATTTAATAATGATAAAGCACTTGTATGTCATATTTGACAGCGGGGCTTTTTTCATCCCAAGTTTAAAGCACTACTGGGAAATAATTAGTGCTACCAGAGTCAAAAACAATGGGACCCCATCAGAAAAGACAGTCTTAGAAACTCTCGGATCTTAATTGAACAATTACCTCTTATGCCTATGAATAGCTCATTATTACAAGCCCTGTTATTATTAGCTGTTATTATTGTTTTAGATGAATGCTGGGGATTTTTTTTTTAATCAAAAGCCATTTTCAACCATACTGTTCATCTCCCCCCCCGCCTCCCCCCGCCCCGCGTACGCATGCTTCTGACATTTCCGAATGTAATAATGTTGTAGTCAGCAGTCGATCTCTACACTTCGCCTGGATAACGGTGTCTTCTGATCACTTGGGTTGTTTGGACGGGGTGGTTAGTTACTCCAGGGCTCTCTTCATACTGTTACTAATTTTCGACTCCCTGGTGAAAGCATTTGCATGAGAATCCAGCACTTCCTGTCTTTTATTTTTTAGGAATCCAAAGTCATCCGGGACAAAGTGATCCTTGTTCACCCCCAAGCTTTTGAGACAGAAACAAAAGGAGATGGTGGTGATGGAACCAGAGGACAGGATAGAGGGGGCAGTGGGGCAGGGATGTAGGGCGGGAGGCTGGGTCAGGAGAGGCCAGGCTGGGAGTCCTGTGTTCTCAGAGGGAAGCACAGAAAGGAGGGGACAAATGGACACACATAAAGCATCTGCCATGTTTTCGGTGCTGTGTTCAGTGTTTGGTATTCATATTTCAGGAACCATGTGGGAGCTTATATACTGTTATGAATGCCTCTCCAGAAGTTGTGACTCTCTTCCTGATTCACAGTACCTCATTTTGTTCAGGGTACTCCACTCTGCTTCATGGGCTTCCCTGGGCCAACTACTGTGACTCTCTTTGCCTTACTAGGTATTAGTGTGGGAATAGCCGTGGGAACAAGTTCTGACCCATGAGACAAAAGGAGAAGTCAGCTGCAGGAGGAGGAGTTCTGGGGAAATAAGAGAAATATAAGAAACACTTTCTTCTCTTTTGCTGGGCACTTTCAGGTCTGGGTGTGATGCCTGGAGTAGCAGCAGCCATTTTGTGACCATGAAGGGGCTTGGTGGAACAGAAAGACGAAAAGGATGTGGGTCCTTGATGATACCATTGTGCTATTGAATTAACCAACTTTGGAGCCACTTCATCTTAAGGCTTCTTATAATTATTTGAGATCATTTTTTTTTCATTTATACCAGTGAGTCAGAGTTTCCTATTACTCTGCCAAAATCATGAAGATACCAGAACAAAATTTTTTGCCTATTTTACAGATGAAGAAAGTGAGACCCAGTGAAGTAAACGCACTTGCCTGGATGCGGTGGAGTCAGGATTTGAACTCACTGTCTTAGGAGGAGGTGCCTGTTTGGGGCAGGGATCAGGGGCGGTGGCAGGATTTTTTTTTTTTTATATAGCAATCTGGCCTTTACACAGCATGGGCACATTCTGTTTCTCCACAGCAATAGGCTGTGATGGCTTCTAACAGGTGAAGTTAGGTGGACCTGGGACTCAAACCCAAACAGGTCCCCACACCCCAGCTCAGAGTCCTCTTGCACCTCAAGGTGTTCAGTAACAGCAGAGACTCTCCCTCGCTCTTAGCCCCCCCCCCCCCCCCCAGTTTGGGCTGCACCCACTGGGTCCCACAGATTCGTTGGTGGGGTGGCTGATCCTGGAGATCTGCCACCAGGGGCTGCTGTAGTCACACCCATGAGAGGAGGCCTGAGGGAAACTTGGAACCTGGGGACCAGGGTGGGAGGAGCCCCTGGGTGAGCTCCCTGTTAGGTGTGTCTTGAGGCTGTAAGACTCGGGAAACCCCACCATCACCACTCGCCACCCTCACAAGGAGAAAAAGAGATCTGTATCTGCCTCTGAAGTCTAAGGCCTAATGGCTGTGTGCCCTCAGGCAAGTTGCCTCCCTTCTCTGAAACTCACTTTTCTTATCACCTGTACTTCTCAAATGAGGGCTTCCTCTCTCTCCCTGGGGGGCTTCCCCCTCCTTTGGGCCTAGCTCTACATGGTAGACAAAGACCAGGTAGGACGTGAGGCCCAGTGACTCCAGGTTGGGGTTGGAATCCAGTTCTTGCTCTGCTGCAAACTCATTAGGAGCCTTTGTATTGCAACTGGGGAAACCAAAGCCCAGTGAGGAGAAGGGACTTACTCAGTTTCCCCAGTTGCAACCCAAGAGGTAGGACTCAGTCTTCCCTGAAGTCTGGCTTATACTTAGGGATGTTAACAGATAGAAATAAAAACTTAGGTGATGGAAAAAGCTAGGGAAATGCTGAGTTAAAGCTGGAAGGCTATCTTGCCTGCAGGACTTTTCAGAGCCTTTAATGTGCTTATGTGATTTGTGCATCTCAAGATCATGGTGGGGAGGAGGAGATAGACATCTGTTTTCCAAACTATTTTAACATAGAAACCCACTTTCCAACGTGAAAACCAGCTAGACCAGGCGATGACAGAAATAATACACCTAACAGAACAGGTAGTGTTCTGTTCTGCCCAGCAGATTTGACTACCCGTCTCCTACATTTAACCGCACATGGCAAGTGCTTTGTAATATTAGTATCACTTTACAGTTGAGAAATAGGTGGCTCAAAGAGGGGCAGTCACATGCCAAAGGCCAGCATCAGGACTGGACCCACTGGGCCCCACTGCACTCAGGGGGTTCCACTCACAAGACTGATTTGCCCTGTCATCCTGATCACACATCACCTGATGCCGTCCTCGTCCTTCAAGTGCCACCACTCCCTTTGACAGTGGCTCAGAGAACTGGAAATGAGGCTCAGAGTGGCCACGCAAGTCACCCAGGGCCACACATGGAGCCTATAGGAGACTGAGGCCAGTTTTCCTGCCTCCCCCCCCCACCATCCTGCCGCTCTTTGGCGAGCTGGTGATAGTGGTGATTTAAACAAACAAACAAAAAACCCCCACCAGGCTCGCCCACCTTCCAGCGGCCCGTGAAGGGGGCCGGGTGGAGATCGCGTGGGCCCTTTAAGATCCGCCCGGAAGTGCAGGCGCAGTGCAGGCGCAGGCGCACTGCAGCGCAGGAAGCCCAGGCGCACGTGGAGTCCCAGCTGCCGCTCAGAGCTGCGCGGTGCGGGTTCGAAGTCGCTTCTTCCAGGCAAGGCAGGGGTCGAAATGGGAGCGGGATCTAAAGGCTGGGATAAGTCAAGAAAACACGGAGCCACCCTGGAAAGGTGAGTTTCCCCACATGGTTCCCGCTCCACTCGGAAGTTTGCTGAAACCCTCCCGCGCCTCTGGTGCCTGTGGACGATGGGTTGATCTTCCAATGGTTGTTATGACGGAAAATGGGAGTGATAGACGCCGCTCTGGGCCAGCCACACGTGGCTACCGTTTTGGGCAGCTTGGCTCTAACGGGGATGCACCCAAGATAGCTACATGGACAGCAAGAGGATCCTAGTGTCCGAACGAAGAGAGAGGATTGCAGTCGGGCCGGGGAGGGGGCTGGGTGGATGGTAGTTTCTCCCCTCTGCCTCCTTCATCCAGCGTGAAGTCCCCGCAGCGCCGGCTGTGGGAACCGAGGCTGGGCCTACGTTCTGGAGCCAAATAAGCCCTATTTGGGGGTTGGTAGTGGTTTTATTTAGTCTCTGCATAGCACAGCACTGAAGAGCTCAGATTTTGAGTTAGAAGGCCTAAGTTCTACCCCAGCGGCTTCCCTGATCTCCATTCTCAGCTGTGTGACTTTGGGCAAAGTGGCCTTCACTGAGCCTTGCTGGTCTCGTCTGTGACGTGGGAACGTGCACGTTTTATCACACACACCTGAACCCTCTTGAGGCCTCAGCCCCACCTGGCACTGAGCCTGGTGGCCAGTCTGCCTACAGTAACTGGGCTGTGGGTAATTGTAGCGGTGATAACGTAGTTGTTATCACCTGCGCTGCTCTTCCAACGAGGTAATCAAAGGTGATTGTATGAAGGGCAGGATGCCGTGTGCCAGAATGATGAGGCTGGTGGGCTCTTTGGATCAGCTAGCTCAGCTCCCAGGGAGAAGAAACCAGCCAAAGCACCCATGGAGCTGGCGCTAGGACCCCAGCTGGGTCCTGGGGCCAAGCCTGGACTGGCTGTGCCCCGTGTCCCCACCTGCCTGCTTGTAGAGGGTGAGGTTTTCCCAGAATAGGGGGCAGGTCCTCAGCCCGGATCTACAGATGTGAGGGACCTGGCCTAGAGGGTGGCTCCAGTCTTCTTTGTCCCCTCCCTTGAAGTCCCAGTGTGGATGGGCCTGGCAGTGGGCCCAGGCCTGGGGAAGCTGGGCCACCTACAGTTGCAGCAGCCGATCCACAGGCCACTGCTCCGCCCTGCCCCTCTCCCAGTTACCCACACTGTGCTTTAGCCTCCTTGGAGTCCATCTCTGGTTCTGGTGCTGCCTCCTTTGGGGAAGGACGGGTTCAGAGTCAAGGTAGCAATGGTTTTGGACTTGGGAGGATTTGGACCCCCATCTAGCTCCAGAGCCTGGGTTGCCCCGCAGGTGTGCTTCACTGATGCGTGAGGGCGGAGGGTCTGGAGTTGGCTTGGCCCAGGGGTTGGAGCTTGACACCAGAACCTGGCTTCTTGTGGCCATTTCTCAGATTCTTTGTGTCCTCATCTATAAACTGGGGGTGGTTTTATTGCATACCTGAGAGGGATGTTGTCAGACTCACGTGAGGTCAGAAGAGCACTTTGTCAACTGCCGTTTACATCCTATTTGTGATAACTCCCAGCGGTCTTCCACATGGCGTGGACCTTCCTGACTTGTCACCCAGTGGGACCCCGCTCCTGCTCTCCAGTGCCTGGGGGATAGGTTTGGTTCACTGACCCAGATCAGAGGGGCCTGGATCTCACCCTGGACACAGCCTTTTCCTCTTGGAGGCTCTGGGTGCTGCCAGGCTCAGGGGCCTGGCCTTAGAGAGGTGGGTGTTCCCACTGCAAGGTCACATTCAGGGTGTCCCCTCTGTCCCTCTTCCACCCTGAACCTCACCACACCAGGCATCTGGACAGGGCTCCATGCATGGGAGGGGAGGCCTCATTCAGACTGGGGGCTCCCCCAGGTGCCCCCCTGTCCAGATGCTGCGCTGGCAGGTCAGGTGGAGACAGGACGTGAGGAAGAGTCTATGTTGTGGGGTTTGAACCCGAACTTCCCAGAGACTTGGCTGTGTGACCTCAGGCAGGTTGCTTCCCATCTCTGAGCCTCAGCTTCCTCCAGAACATGCCCTGTTTTGCAAAGCAGTGGCAAGGCTCCATCAAAATGCCGTGTATAGGAAAAGGCCCCAGCACACAATAAGCGCCTGATAAATGCGAAACATCCTGGGACAAGGATGGTCTCTTGGGCATCCCCGGGCTCCAGGGCACAGGGTGGGTGTGTGCTGGGGCTGGCCAGGGAGATGACCACTGCCCAGCCACTTTGGCCTGTCCCCAGCCACACTGCCTCCAGGGAAACATGGAGCGTGCCAGGCACACAGGTAGAACTGGGGAGGAATTTAGCGATGCTGGGATGCCAGCCCCAGACCGCCTCTGGACTACTCAGGGAATGAGCCAAAGGGACCTGGGCTCAGTTCTGTCTCAGCTGATCTGTGGACCCATCACTAGCCTGACCCATAATCAGGGTAAATGACAGTGTGCACTTGGAAAGAGCTGGAGGAGTCGATGGAACATCGCATACAAAGTGGCCCGGCACAGGAGGGGCCAGGGGGCTCCTGGCCGGCCTCGTCGGCAGGGGAGGAGACAGTGCATTTTACTCCTAAGGGGAGGAAGGAAGAACTAACGAAAACAAGAGCTACAAAACAATCCCACAGCTGAGACACCATCTGTGTTTTCCTTTTTTTTTCTTTCTCTTCGTTTTTAAAACAATATAGTGCAGACCGCACTTCTCACAGTAGAATATAATGGTCAATTTTAGTATAAAAAAAAAACATTCTCAGAGATTTGTAAATGCACTTAGTGCTTGAACAGGCCTTGGAGAGATACAGTACCGCTTCCGGAGTGCCAGAGGGGCCGGGACCTGGGGAAATCGGGCCTTGGGGATTTAATGAGGGGACCCCTGCCTGCCTTACCCCCCAAATGGTGTGGGGCGGGCCTTGGAGGGCGGCTTGCAGGAAGGGAGCTGGATTGGATCTCCCAGTTAGAACCAGCAGGTTGCCCTCTCGCTGGCTCCTAGGAGAACCCCTGGAGGAAGCAGTGGGTGGTCCCTCTGGCATGGTTAGCCCCTATGGTGCCTTTGTGCGAAAAGGTTAATGGTGCCCCTTCCTCAAGATTCAGAAAATTGCTGCAATAAATATACAAGTCTAGGATGCGAGTGGTGTCTCCTTGGATGAGTTGCCCTTGTGCAGTCCACAGCCTGCACAACTGTGCCCAGCAGCCCTGTAAGATGTATGGGAGGGAAGGGGAAAAGTGGTAGTCCAGGGTTGGGAGAATGGAGATGGGATTCTGTGTTGGGAAAGAATGGTGAGGAAGGGGAAGGAGAGTCTCGGAGAGGAGGAGTAGGGGGGCCGGTAGTCCCGGAGCCTCTATCAGAGTGGTCTGCACCTGGGATTGGGCAGTGGGGGACACTGTGGGCCCAGTGACTTATAAGCCCCCTCTGCTCTTTTTCGGGGAGACTGGGGAGCTCGTGGAGGGAGGAGCTGTCTAACCCCAGGCGCTGCTCTAGCCCACCCTGACTCTAGACCGTCACATTTCCTCCTGGATCTCACTGTGGCCCAAGCCCCTCTCCTGGAGAGCCAGAAAGAACCATTCCTGTTTTTTAAGTGGTTTTTTCTCTCCCTGCCTCTGCCAGCTTGGATGGAGGAAGGCGTGGATGTCGGCAGCTGCCCTGGGCCCTCCCCGTGTCCTGGGGCAGCGGATGGTGGGGAGGGGCCCTGGTGAGTGAGGCCACCCTGTCACTCCCCTTCTGGCAGCCACATGGCAGCAACCAGCCTGGCTTCCCTGTGGGCATCAATGGGCACTCGGACACAGGGAGGGGCTGGCCCTCCCTGCGTGTCACCCACCCTGTTCTGCGGCCTGCCTCCCCCCTTGGCTCCCTGTCCGTCTGTCTGTGCATCTGCCAGGCAGGCCT